AACATGATGACATCACTCCTGCCTTGCACACACCCCATAATGACATGTGGTCCCAATTATCTGTTAGGTAATAAGTCAGAGCAGCTGCTGAAGTTCTACCCACGGATGAGCGTGCACACACACACACACACACACACACACACACACACAATCACACACACACACTCTGATGTTATATTGCGCCGTTTGGCTCTGTTAGCTGCCGTTCTGGACCCACTCTGCAGACGTGCCGGGTGCAGCCCAGGCCCGGCTGACTGACCCTGATGTGTGTTACATAAGAGCAGGGTCCCGCTAAGCCCCCACCCCTCGTATGGATTCAGGCACATCGTGGAGGCCGCTGAGGCTGAGGGGAACGTCTGCAGTGCAGCAGGGTTTTCTCTCCAGCTTGATTTCTTGCTCTTCTCCAGAGTTTTTGTCTCTTTTCTCTGTCACTTCATTCAGCTGACTATTCACTGACTCCCACAGTATCTCTGGCTCTTGTTCTCTCTTTCACATAGACACCAACAGCTGTCTCCACCTCCTGCGCCTCACCAATGAAGGATAACACTGCTGCAGTGCAATAATGAACCTCTGCTACACACTGCTGCCTGAGGACTGACACTGACTGTCAAGGACAGTGGTGGAAAAACTTGTTTCTTTTCTGTGCAGAGTTATGAAACCAAAATCTGAAAGGTTTTCATTTTGTTCTAAGTGAGTCTTTAGGTGGTGAACGCAGATGATGAATTTGTTCTGCTTCCTGCTCTTCTGATGAGCTTCTGTAGCAATAACACATCACCACAGAGCTGTCGAAGCTGGATCACTGGATCACAGGACTGAAGCTCGCTCTGTCAGTGTTCATGTTTAGCTTCTTGAAGAGCACCTTTCACACATTTGATTGGTAAATATTTATTCACCCTAAGCCCTGTGCACACCTGCAGCTGTGTCACCTGGTTGTGTAATGTTCAGTGTAAGGACCACTATGAGAACAAACCAAACTCCACATCACTCACTGCTTTATTTGCTTTAACACTACTTAATCTTGCACCTGTCCTATCTAGAGAACCAAGGTGCAGAAGGTTTGCTGTGGTAAAACACCTGCAGCAGCTCTTTCTCCCTGTTTGCTTGTGAAACACAACATGTAGCAGCACCACACTGCCTTAGCAGGAGCTGGGTCAGTGCATAGTGTCTGTTGAAGTCAAAAGCAGGCTGAGACAGAGAGCTGTTGTTCAGCCTGCCCTGACCTTGTCTGTCCATTGTGTGCGTACTGAGCAGCATTTCCTGTACAGAGTGAACACAGGTCATTGTATTGTCTGGTGAGAGGTAGAGTTTCTGTTATCGAGTCGGCTGTTGGCTTTCACAAAAAGCACTGTGAGTTACTTCATCTTGTTTAACAGGCTGTAGAATTCACTTTGGTGTGCAGAAGACTTACCCAATCATCCCAGCACACTAACCTAATGCGCTGTGACAGCCGACTAGGTGAACCCATTCGTCCCACAAGTCTCTTCCTGTTTGGTGTTTGTGTTATGGACTCGTACAGCAGCACTGATCCAGGTGCACACAGGCCGAGCAGGTTCATCAGGCCAAGAATTTAATGAGCCTGCTATCAGAACAAGACGGGCAAGATGCAGTAACGACAAAGAGCCAAGGGCAAGCTCCGCGAACACACACTCCTCATGTGGAGACATGCTCTGTGGGTTTACACCCAACGCTAGAGCCCTCACCTGCTGCCTGTCCTCCTCCTGTATACCTGCTGCTGACGCTCGGAGCTCTCCCTGCCCTACATAGGTGACTGCATTCACAGATATGTGTCAGGTTCCCACCGCTAACAGCGCGCTGTATGTAGGTCACACGCCCATACATTCAGCATTTCATTCATAAGCTGTTGGTGCACAAAGTGTGACACTGTGATTGTTTCTTTAATTGTAGTGGAGATTTAATCCTAAATGATCTAATGTTGCAAGTAATGAAGGAATCTAAGGATGGTTGACAGGACACAGGACAGCAGGGCTTAGTGACGGTGAGCCGCAAGAATATCTAATACATGTACAAGAAATACGCAGGTGCTGAGGGATTAAATGGATGCTTGATCAGTCGTGTTGTGATTAGGTCTAATGGCAAAGTTCATGATGTGATATAACAAACAACTGAAGAATGAGTGTAGCTCATAAATGAAGAGCAGATGCAGCAGAGTTACCTTTATGAAAACACAGCATGTGTAGCTCTGAGCTACATGGGGATGATCAGTGTATCAGATATACAGACAGCACAGCTACACTCAGATATACGGTCCGAAACACAACAACACATGGATCTCAGCCGGTCTTCCTAGCTGCGGTTTGTCTGGGTTGCTGTAAGCAGACTTCTTTGGCCAACAAGTCAATCTTTGTCTTCTTATCTGCCTGTTCAGAGGCTCCTCGGTCTCCAAAGTTAGGAGCAAACATTTGAACTAGAGGCGTTGTAGCCCAGCCTGTACTTCAGTATTTTAATGTGTGTTTGGCCGCTGCTACAAGTCGATCACCTTCAGAAACGACATTTAAAAATGGAAGATGAGTGTTTGTGTTCATCTGACTGCAGTGTGGCTGTCAGCAGCTCCAGAAGCTCCAGTGACCTGGTGCATCCTGATGCAGGACGGTAGCCCGTCTCCAGCGCCGGCGACCCGCTGGCCTCTCGTGTCTGCCCGTTTCCTCAAAGTGACAAAGAAAGCATGCTGCAGAAGACCATTGCGCAACTTGTCCAGGGCTCCAAACGCCACAACATGCTCTCAGGTTACAGCCCACAGACAAATGAGCTTCTACTGAGAGCTGGTAAATCTGGTGACTCTGAACAGAACCACAGGACGGAGCAGCAGAGTGGAGTGATCTGGTGTCGGGGGGAAGGCGAGACGGAGCCGAGCACAGGTGTCGGTCTGTTCCTCCTGGATGTGATGCAACCAGTTTAGCTGTCGGCAGAACACGTGTGGAGCGTTACAACATGGACACGCTGTGGGCTGCTGCACTATATCTCCTTAGAAATGTCCAGGGGTCTGTTTCACAAAGCAGGTTTAGTGAAAACTCTGAGTCTGTTAACCCTGAAATGAGGGAGAGTTTTTTGGTGCAGCATTCATTGTTTAGAGCATTCATTGTTTAGAGAAACACCTCCAGGGCGTTGTGTTGATGTTTGAAGTCTCTGCATCAGGACTCAGTTCAGATGAGCCATTCATGGATGTGAGTTTGATCAGTTTTGAAAACAAACCCATCGATCAGCATCAATATGAAAACATCAGTCTGTTGATTTACTGAGTAGAACACGTGTTATGGACGGCTAGTTTGGTTGTGGATAATTTCTCTGTAACAGAGTTGTTTGGTCTAAAGAATGGCTGAGACATGTTGATCAGTGTTTGCCAGAAACCCGGGAGGACGTTCTGAAGCGTCTGGTTCTGTCACAACCAGAACCTTCAGGTTACTGTCATGGAGGAGGAAAATATCCACGTTTAAGAAGCTGCAAACAGAGAATTCAGACTTTTCTTTTCTTTTTTTAATTATTATTACTATTATTAAATAAAATACTCAGATCCATTAACTGACACTCAAATAGTTGCTGATTAATTTAATTGTTGATTACTAATCAGTTAGTTGTTGTACTGGATAAAGTCCAAACTGGCTACCGTTGGCTGTTGAGGAAACTAGACTCAAGTTGTGTTTGAAGCTTTGCTGAACTTGTGATTTGATAGAATTCACCTCCTGCAGAGTTTGGATTTAGTTGTTTTTAGCTGATTTATTTATTTTTTTTAATAAGATAAAACTGTTAGAAGTGGACTACAGATTCCATAACAGAACATCAGTGTGATGAGGAGAGGATGCAGAGATGCTCCTCAGCCTCACAGGAACAGTTCACCAGCATCACCACAGCTGCAGCAGCTGACATGGTCTGAATGCTGCCGAGGCCTCCACATCACAGCCTGGACCTCAGAGAACGGGCTGGTTTAGTTCAGACTGAAGCACAATGATGAAGATTCCCACTGACATGTAACTCATATCACCACTAGAATACATGTCAGAGTGATTACAGTCTGGTGTCTCCTCCCATCAGAAGGAGAACATGAGAACTGTGTGCAGATAGCATTAAATAGCACCGGCGCTGGAAAGTTTGTGATCACGGAGCCAAATATGTGTTGTATAACAGCTTCCCTAATAGTGCGCTGTTTGTGAGATAAGCTGCTATCGATACCCGCCCTGCTGGAGCGCCGTCACAGAACCAGGACGTCTGTAAACACAGCCAAGCTTCAGAGGAGCTCTCTGCTGCACATGTTCTAGTTCAGGGTTCTGGGCGCTGGCTGGTGTGAATATGAGGGGGCTGCAGTTTTACGGTGTTTTTCAAATTGTTGTCAGCTGACGAGGACCCTGCATGATAGCGCCAGTGGAGTATAAAATGTTTATTGGCTATAAATGGGCCCAGCACTGGGCCCGTCTCACAGCAGGAGAATCACTGGATATCCCACTCAGCTCCATGTGGAGGAGCGCTGGCCCACTCTGCTTCACCTCCACGCTGCTCAGTCTGGTTCTCATTGTGTTCGCCCTTATGTAACCCACCACAGGCCTGGGGTGTGAGAGGAGGCCAGTGGAGAGGCCGGTGGAGAGGAGGCCGGTGGAGCCTCCACACTGCCCAACCAAGAAGCCGTGTGGCTGGACTCAGCAGCTTCATGAGGAGCCTTCTCCTGTTGACCTGCTGCAGGAGGACGCTCCGTCAGCTGCTGGTTCACACTCACCTGCACTACTGTACTACTGCTGTGGGCAACCATATGGGGCCTGGCAGTGGCCAGCTGGTGACCAGCAGCTCGGTTCCTGGTGAGAGGACAACCCGGCCTCAGCCAGCTGCTGTTGCACGTCTGTAAAGACTGTGGTCGCTGCAGAGCTGCTCTTCGTGTCGGCCCTCCCTGCAGCCCTCAGTGGCCCCCACGCTTCCCAACAACACGTGTCTCCTCCTCCAGCTCCTCCTTCATCCCTCCTCCTCCTCCTCCTCCTCTGTCTCCGCTGAGAGTTTGACTGAAGTCACAAGTGTCGGTTCGGTACTCGGTGAGGATCTGTGTGTCGAACCGGGATGTACAGGTACAGAGCTGTGTTCTAACCGGGACTCTCCTCGGCTGACTAGAGCCATGGCCAGGACCAGAACCAGCTGACGACCCACTGATCCAGAACACCGGCTCCGTCTGGACGCGTCCGTCCTTTAACTCGTGTTTTAGTCCCGGGACTACTTCGCCTCTTCCTCTCGTCCCGACCTGAGCCGCTCCGTCCGCCTCCCCGCCATGAGGAGCACATGACCGGAGGGACGTAGAAGTTCTCCTCGGACCAACACCTGCCCCCCGCCGCCGAGGCTCCGCGCTCCCCCCAGCCCGCCGGCATGACCCTCGGAACAGTGTCCGGCTCCGGCGGCTCGTCGGCGGTCAGCTTCTGCTCGTGCTGCGGGGCCAAGATGGTTCCCGACTTCAGCCACGACACCGTGGAGTCCCGGAACCAGATCAACCAGCTGTGAGTGAGCTGTGGGGACCTAGAGGGTTGTGGACATAAGGGTAGTGACAGGTTATAGATTATATATTCTAGATTTTGGATAGATAGATAGATTATAGATTATATATATATAGATATAGATGGATTAACCAGCTGTGAGTGGGCTGTGGGGAACTGGAGGGTTTTGGAGCAGAAGGCTGCGATACATTAGATAGTTTATAGATTATAGATAGATAGATTATAGATAGATTAAACATACATACATAGATCATTATAAGGAGGGTCTATATCTAAATGAACCCTCTTGACACTTGAGCACAGCTTCACTTCCAGAGATGAGATAACCTGTGAAACTATAAAACCTTCCTGTTGGAGCAGCGTTCAAACGTGGCCTGGATGAGTCTCTGTGAGCCGACATCCTGGCCGGTGCTGGTGTCTCTGTGACATACTCTCACACTGAGTCAGCTGGTGCTTTTGCAATAGTTTTGCAACCTCAGGCTCGTATGTGGTGGTTTCCTGGTGACGTAGCAGAGCCTTGCTCATCTCTGTGCTCGCTGTTGACCTTACTAAGACATATGCTGTACATGTGGCGTGAGTCATCCCACCTGCTCCACAGGTTAGACTCCGCCACAGAGACGCTCCTCCTGCTGCTGGGCTGAGCACAGACTCCATCAGCTGGTCCCCAGGTCAACCAGCAGAGGAAACCTTTTTCCTTCCTCCTCTGTTTGTCCAGGGCTGGGATGTTGTTGGTTTGAGCACGTGGCGGTTTGCTGTGATGACAGTAGATACATTGGAATTTAACTTTCAGACCTCCAGGACGGTAACCTACATGAGGCTGAAGAGGAGGAACAGTAAGCAACATGTGTCGCATCATGTTTTTTTGTTTTATATACGCAGTAAAGGTCATTTTTCATGGAGACAGACAGTGTAATGTCTTTAAGGTTTCTGTACTTTGGTATAACAGATGTGGCGTCTAATGATTTATCTCCACTGAAGCTGGTGTTGGAGGTCTGTGACTCACTGTTAGATAATCCTTCTTGGAGACAGACCCAAACTGGCCTACATCCACTTGGCTGACACTTAGAATAGGACCAAGACAGAGCAGTCCAGTTGGTGTTCTGGTGACCCAGTAATGGACTGCACTGGAAATCTGGTTGCTGATCACATAACATGCCTCAAAGTCACAAAGCGGTTAGTTTTGCCCCCGTTTCCTGTGAGGTCAGCAGACCAGCACCACTCTGTGTTCTGGATAAATTGGACTAATTCAGAGACCGTCTTGTTGGTGTGTCAGGAGTTCCCATCATCCACCGTGTCTGTACTCTGTGTGTGTGTCGGCAGACATCAAGCACACTGAGGTGGAGGCTGTTTTGCGAGTGAGATGTAAAAGGCTTTAGCCGACTCGTACATGTGCTGAAGACAAGTCTGCCCTTCAGATCACAGTTTAGTCTGTTCCAGTGTTTCCAAACTCTGATAAGCTTAGCAAGTTTGGGAAGAAAAAAAATCAATGCAGGAATTACTGCTACTGGATTAAAAGCTGGTGAAGTCAGCATGAACCAATTGTTCACAAAGTGGTTGTATGATTTCCAGCGTGTGTGTTTGGCTGCTGTCAGGTCGTCTGTAGAGGAGAACCAGCCTGCAGCCGTCTCTGGACACCACGCAGCCTGATTGCATTGTTTAGCAGCAGTTTCACAAACACGTGATTGTGTGGTGAGGTTATTGAGTAAACCCAACATTTAGCCTTTATGAGGGCTGCACCCAGGCTTCAAGGAAATAGTTCTTGTTAATGTGAGTTTGCACAAGGATGCTTTATGGGAACGTGTTGCGAGAGTCACTCGGTGTGTTCTGGCCGTCGCGTGTCTAGTAAACAGCAACAGATGTGGGACTCCTCTCACTTCCTGGTTTTGTTGAAAACACGGCACGAGGCTGTTTGATTGTCGTTATCACCCCTCCCTGGTATTGTTCTGGGTGGACAGCATCAACAACAACAACCTGGTGTGTTTCATGTGTACAGACTGAATGTGTGTGTTTACTCCTCTATGAGTGATTATAGGCCTGGAGGTTGTCGCTGGAGCTAAAGTGTTACCCGTAGTCGTCCCAGCAGCTTTAGAAATGCCAGCAAACCCCTGTCTTGCGCTGCATATGTGTTCCAAAGAAAACAGATAAGACTGAAACGTGACCGTGTGAGCAACTTCAGCAGCTGAACAGGGACATGAGCGGCAGGATGTAGGTCACAGCTTGTGCTTGTGATGCATCGACAGTCACACAACATCCATAACGTCGTTTAAGTTGATGGAATTAGCTCCAGTAGAGCACAAGAAGCCAGACTAGAGTAGAGCTGCTTGGTGTTTTACAGCTCAACCTGTGACCAGGAAGCTGCTCATAAACAGGTGGATGTCCAGATCCACGTGTTGTGAAGTACAACACACAAACGTGAACCGCTTTATTGCTCCATGTTATCAAAGTGGGTGTAGAAGCTCTGATTCAGTCCTGGTTGCTTCCAGCTGTGCTCTTCATCACCTCATTTGACCAACATGAAGAAAGTCTATTTAGGTTCCTCCGTCCTGCAGTTTGTCTCACTGTAAGTTAGCTGTAATCTGAATCGGTCTTAGAATAGCGCTGCAGCCTGCCCAGGTGTGTTTCCTGACTGCCTGCACACTGGATAAGCACAGAAACTGCAGCAAACCTTGTAGCGCTCACTCACAAACATACGAAGGACAGCAATGGGTCTGGACGGCCGGTTAAAGGCGTGCAGGCCCGGACAGAAGCCTGTTCAGTTGGACCTGGTTCTGCCTCCTCTGTCTCTGCCTCTTCAGCCCACATCTGCTGCTTTCGTGGTTTCCAGCTTCGCCCCAACCATCTGTTTTGTAGTGATGGATGATCTGGAACTTGTTTTTGTGCTTTGGTTAAACTGTTCAGCTGGGAATAACATGTGGAGCGTGCAACACCGGTCCACAGCCAGACCCACTCTGAGGTCTGTGGCTGCGCTGGACCAGCAGGTCCTCCACCAACTGGTTCTGTCCCTGCTCATCAGTCTGTCGCTGCAGACACTCCAGCTCGCTGGCTGTCTTTATCGTGGCCTGTTTCTGTCTCGGGTGCAAGCTGACAAGGCCTTAGCAGGGCCTGGCCCGCACAGAGCACGGCCCTATATTTATCCCACTCTGCTGCCGAGAGTGACTAATATGGGCACAGGCTGGAGGAGGGTCACCCAGCTATCTGCCCACCCTGCTGAGGGGTCCTTACATAGGGAGGATTGTGTCTGTGACTGTTGCCCTAACAAGTACCTGCTGCCTCGCTGCAGCCATAAAGCCCCAAGCAACGACCCTGCCCACCCTCTAACACTCTGACTGGGTCTTCTTTATCTTCCATCTTTCACAGCCCACTCCTCATTTACACTCCGTGGAGTCGGATGTAATCGAGCTGCTTGTCCTCCTTCCATGCTCCTGCTTGCTTTGTCCTTCTGTGTGTATATTTTTACCCTTAGATCAGCTGGACGTGAACTTTTCCAGCTGCCGTGACACCGTTTGGTAACCTTTCTTGTTTGGACTTTACACTGACACAACACACACCTCATGCAGTGCGTCTGGCTGTTCCTGCTCTCTGATGGTGCGTTATTACATTGCAGGTGTATCGGCTGTGATCAGCTCCGTCCGCTGGTGTTGCCCCAGTAGACCATGCTGACACCGTAAGACGGTCTCACTGCTGCAGACATTCAAGGATCGGTTAAAATATATTGTTTACATGTGAAATAGCGCCACAACAAACCCCCAATAATCTTTGGATTATTCTCTCGATTAATTGACTAAAGTTTTTTATGTAAACACCATAAAATAACACACTGGATATCGTTTCCTGAGATCTTCTGTGTACTGTCATGTATGGCATGAAAATCACTAAAGTCTCATATCTGTGAAACTGAAACCAGATTTTAAAAATGACTCAAATTAATGACCAAGAAGCAAATCGTTTCCTGCTGATGAATTGACGAGTGTTTGTGCAGCTCTTTTGTGATCCGCTGGGTGATGATGCTGCCTGTGTGTCAGTGTTATCATGCCGCTACATAGCCATTCCTCTATACGTCTCCTGAAGCCAGTGTTCACAGCCGTGTAGGCTCCTGGGCGCTGCTCTGCTCCGTACAGTAAGCAGACGTGCTCTTATGAATGCAGTCTATCAATAGCTGACACTTTTAAAGGACTACTGTATTTTTAGAAACTGTATTTGAAAGTCGCTCACAGCCCCCACCTCTAACCGTCAGGCTTACATTACTCTCTCTGTGTGTCTGCGTGCAGGAGTAAAAGTGCATGTTTGCATGGATGCACGTGCGCTGCCCTCCAGGCGGGATTCTCAGGGAGAGCAGCAGTGTTGCATTACAGATGACATTGTACAGTAGCACTGCTATACATGGTCACTGCCAAGTCCAGTGCATCAGTGTGTGAGCACAGCGGGACGCGATGCAGCGCTCACCGAGCAGGAGGACGGAAAACAAAAGTAGGACAAAGTTGTGAGAAATGCAGAAAGGAGGAAGCAGCAGAGGGGAGAGTGAGAGGAAACAGCTGGGTCAGGGGCGGGTGGGTGATGGGAAATGAGCTCAGCACAAGGCTGCTGTTCTCTCCCATGGCCCTGCTGTCGGTGTTCCTGGTTCATCTGTGGCATCAGCAAAACTCAGGAAGGACAGTCGGATGATGGGAGGACAGAGAGATGAAGTTACAGACAGAATGGGGGACAGGAAGCTGGGATGACAGGCAGCACCAGACGTGTTTTGAGTGTGAAACTGTAGAAGCTGCTGAACTGTGGACGGTAGGTTCATGGAGTGTAGACGGGCAGCCTGCTGCTGAGCCAAAGGGTTTACATCCAAACAAGTGCATCGCCAAAATGTCTGCGTCATTCAAAAGCTTTGATGTCGTCATCCAGCGCTAGTTAACCCCAGTGATCCTCATTGTGTGTGTGTGTGTGTTTTCGTCAGTTCCTTGTCTTGGTTTCTGGCCCTGGAGGCTCAAAACACTCCTATTTTTAGCAGGTCAGGTTGGGCAACTCCCTAAATCACTAGCAACACTTGTTTTGTTTTGGACAGAATGCTGTGAGCTTAAACCTTCACACATATTCACTACATCTGATCTCTTATGAAGCATTAACTTTTGTCAAGCTAATGCCCTGTGTACAATATTTCATATTTGAAAAGATAAAGAAGCTTGAAGTAGCAACACAGGGTTTCTCTAGACGTTCGTTTTCCTTTAGGACCCACATCTGGCTGGGTGCCACAGCTGTGGCTGCACACAGACCTGTTCCTGGAAAGCCTGTCAGCTGCAGCCTGACTGGAGCGCTCAGCTCTGACAGAACCTGCAAAGTCGGTACAGACGCTGTGTTTTTGTTTCTGTGATTAATTTATCCCTGGTCCGCAAGAGCTTCTTCAGACTTAATTAAACTTTTAAAGGGGACAGTTTTGGTCACAGCAGCGCTTGGTGCTCTCTGCATCCAGCACATGTGCTGCATAAAGAGCCGAGCGTTGGCTGTTCCAGTGCTACATGTGTTGCTGGGCCTCATTCGGGTCAGGGTGTAGTGGTCCCGTGGCTGTCAGAAGTAGGTCTCCAGCTCTTCTGCTGGTGTGACTTAGGTTAGTGTGCCACTGTGAGAGTCCAACAAAAGGCCAGTCATCCACTGTTGAAGCGCTGACCTCAGTTTATTATGTGTCGTCCTCCTCCATGCAGTTAATGAGATTAGGTGTCTCTGGAGGAATAGAACCCATTAAATGCGACCTGCTGTGGAGCGCAGCGGGCTGGCCGGCTCGTATCTCTGCTCAAACCCTGTGGAGGCAAGGACTCACTCTGTCTTCCCTCTCGGACCCCCGGTCCTCTCCCATTCCCCCCATCCCTCCCTACTGGCAGCTGTTGCTGTAGGCCTGTGTGTAATCCAGCTGTGTGGAGGAGCAGAGAACATTGTGTTCTGAGTTCACATCGGGGCTCGGCTCTTGTTTTGCTTGCATGGCTATGCCGGCTCTGATCTGGAGCCTGCAGACCAGAGCTGAATGGAGCATTGTGACGCTGACATGAGCCGTGACAACATTCGTCCATTCCTTGTCCCCATCGGGCCGTTGTTATGAGAAGTTGGGGTCAGCATGTGCAAGGAAGTGATGACAAAAGCAGTGCACATAAATAATTACTGAAATTACACAAAGACAAGATATTATGAGATAACGTGGCTGAAGTCATTCAGGTTTCTGTTAACGTCTGGTTTTCTTTTCTCTCCCCTCCAGTATCAGTGAGAGTTTCCTCACAGTGAAAGGTGCAGCCCTGTTCCTCCCGAGAGGCAGCAGCCCCACACCGAACGCTGCCCCTCGCATCAGCCAGCGCAGGAACAAGCACACAGGTAAACACCTGCACATGCTGCTCCGTGTCCGTCAGGGAGGCTCTCCTCCCTGATTGGCTGGGATGAGCGCCATAACTTCAGAGCTTGAGATGAAATGGGACCATGTGTTTCCAGAAGACATTCCTCCATAGGAATATGGGCAACAGCTGGTGTTAGCTTCAGTCAAACGGTTTCATAACAACACAGATAAGCTCCGTGGTGGGGAGCTTGTTTGCTGGAGTTAGAAAAAAAAAAAAGAAAGCCAGAAATATTTTAGTTTTGGATGATGGATGATGGAAAAAAAGTCACAGATGCAAGAAAAATCTGTGGTGGCGAGTGGATCGAAAAAGAAAGGCTTTGTAGCTATAAACAGAACCAACATCCTTCCTTGTTTAACACAAAGGATTTCTTCACTTCGATGTATTTAGCGTTGGGTTCCATGTGTAGGAGATGATACCAGGAGTCAGCCTCTGGTCAGGGAGCTGAACTAAGCACAACTGTTCTACCTGTTCTGTCCAGGTGACCTCCAGAAACACCTCCAGACCATGTTCACTGTGCTGCGACCAGAGGACACCATCCGGCTGGTCAGTACCCCACATACACATCAAACACACAACAAACACACAACAAACACACAACAACACACAACAAACACACAACAAACATACACTAACACACAACAAACACACAACAACACACAACATACAACAAACACGCGTACCTCTCTAATGTCTCCTGTCCTTGCAGGCTGTGCGTCTGGAGAGTGCATACCCTCAGGTGACCCGCTACATGGTGGTGGTCTCCACCAATGGCAGGCAGGACACGGAGGAGAGCATCGTCCTCGGCATGGACTTCGTGTCCTCTGACAGGTCGGTACCGAGGCCGCTGCCTTGTAGCAGCATTACCACAGGTGTTGTGTTTCATTTAGCGTTCAGACTGCAGCTTTAATGTAGTCAGAGGAAGCTAAATGTGAGGGTGATGGTGTCGCTGGTGGTGAAAACTGTTCACAGTGACGTAGTCCACACCACTGGGCCTTCCATCCATCCTGTGGTCTGTGTGATGTCGCACCGCTGCCTTTTGCTGTGTTGTTGACCATGTTGATCTTCCTGCCAGCTGCTGCACGGTGGGCCTGGTTCTACCTCTGTGGAGTGACACTCTGATCCACTTGGATGGAGACGGGTAAGACACCACACCTACTTCCTCTAACTGCTCTGCTCACTTCTTTACTCGCTGTTGACGCTGTTGGTGCTGAGAGAAGCTGTGAGCTGTCTCTGGAAACCCACTCTGATGTGTTTCTGTCTCCACAGTGGCTTTAGTGTGTCCACGGTGAGCAGGGTCCATGTCTTCAAGCCGGTGTCGGTCCAGGCCATGTGGTGAGCAGCCTTTCTCTCTTATAGTACTGGATCCATTGCACCCCTGTGACCTCCAGCCTTTCATCTGTTAGTTTTCCTTCTTTTGTTCCCTCATTATCTCTCTGCTTCCAGTCTCTTCCTAATCTCCTGCTCTCTCATGCCAGTGCTGCCTCTTCATTTCCTCATTCTGTCCCTTTGTTGCTCTGCTCTTCTTCTGCCCGTTCTTCCTCTAACATCCCCTGATGCCTCCATTCATCAGCAGCTGTAGCTCTGCATTGTGTCGCTGTAATCATTCAGCTTTTCTCTTCCCCTGTACTCCATTAATCAACCACCTCCCTGCTTATATTTCTCCTGTTTGTTTTTTTAAACTTATTCCTTGCATATCTTTCTTTTACTTTCTATCCATCTTATCCCACCTTCCTCCTGATTTCTTCCTCATTTAAATGCCTGTGTGTGTCGTTTTTGTTGGAGGCGGTTGCTCCGGTGTAAATCTTTCTTTAACCGTCTGCCTTCAGGTCGGCCCTCCAGTCGCTGCACAAAGCCTGTGAGGTGGCTCGCTGCCACAACTACTACCCCGGCAGCCTGTTCCTGACCTGGGTCAGCTACTACCAGAGCAGGGTCTCATCCAACCAGTTCTGCATCAACGAATGGAACGCCATGCAGGATGTGGAGTCACACCGTGCCAACTCACCCGTCCTCTTCACAGACCTGTGAGTAGAGCAGAGAGGACCTCCTGATGTACCACAGCTGATACATCTGGAGCTGATGGTGTGTGTGTGTGTGTGTGTGTCAGCACTGCCCCATTGATGTGTGGTGTAAAATTCCTGTGGAGTGAATCCACTGCTCTGAAAATGTTTTCAAGTTCAGGGATGTGTTGAATGAAAATCCACCAGAGACCCTGTTTCATAACTACATACCATATTACGTCTGAAATATATTTAGTCACTGCAGTTGTTTTTCTTTCCTTTTCCTGATGATGAACTTTTTGCAATCAGAAACAGATGTAAAGAGTAATTAACCCTTGGAGCCCGACGCTCACACAGTCCCGTCCTCTCAGTTGAGCTGCTCTTGAAGTATTTCTGCAGCGAGGTGTACAGATATCAGATGAAACCGCATGACCTGACCTTTCCAAAAATACCGGTTCCTCGTCTGTGACGAAGTGGCTGGGATAAAAAATAACCTTGAATTTCCTTTAATCATAGCTCTACCCTGCATGTAGGTGTGCATCCACTACTCTTGTTTATGACTGAATAATTAAAATAAGTAAATCCGTTATGTGTTCATGTCACATTAGAAGAAACAGCAGTAAAGGAGCTCTGCAGCTGTGGTTGGTGCTTATCTGTCGGCTGCACGAGAGCCACAGAATGGAGGCAGATCAAACTTCTGACAAATCATTTGCGTACTCATTTGACATTCTGGGGAAACGTTTGTTTGGTTGGTCACCTTTGCATCCTGGATGTGAACACGTCAGTGAGTGAAGTCAGTCGTTATTATTATTAGTCACCAGTTGTACAGTGATGATCCCTGATTATAACCAAGTTAAGAAATTGAAAGTAAAGATGGTGAAATTACACCACAAGGTTGGAGGCACAGATTATATACTCACTGTTTCTGGTTCACTTTTGGACCGAACATACTAAATGTCCCTGGAAGGACTGTAGTTCTCAACTAGTGTGTTCTAAAATGAGAAGTGAGGGGAGCTGTAGCTGTTGTGAAGGAGTGTACGCTGCAGCAGACATGTGCTCTTCAGCAGCATGTGAATGATGCAGGCTACAGGACCACATACCTTCTCTCATGTGGAGGAACCAGCAATGCACAACAGAGAAGATTCTGACCTCTCAACACAGATACTCCTACATGCGTCACAGATTCAGAGAAAGCCAGAGGTGTTCCACGGCAGCTCCTAAATAAGACTCAGGCTCTGTAGGGCAGCGTTTCTCAACCTCTCCTCACGTGCCCACCGTGTTTCTCCAGCACCTATCAGTCTGCAGAGCCGGACTCTGGACCGAGGGTCAAATGCTGTCTCTGACCTTCCAAGGCAACACAGCCGGGCATAAACAAAAGCAAAAGCAGGCGCGGCTGAAACATCAGCTCACACATACACGGGTTTGTACTCTGTGACACCGAACTGTCAACAGATCCACAAGGGGCATAGAAAGTTCTGGGACCGACACAGGCTGCAGGATTTATGTCTTTTCTAATAGCAGGGAAATTCCCCTCACTGCTGCTGAGTCACGAGCCTCGCCACCTATTTGGAGCGTCTCTCAGACACACTTCAGAGGTCCTCAAGTGTCCAAAATAGCTGAGGCTGTAGCTGGCCTGATTTACTGGTGGAAAAATGAAAAGCAGACGCCACGAAGGCCGGTGGACAGAAGCAGGTGGCCGTCACAGAGGGAGGTGAGGGCACCACCTGATGCCCCGATGGAGGGAGTGGAGGAGGGTGGAGGCAGCAAGACAGCAGCTTTCCACTGGACAATTAAGAAAAACCGTATTTACAGTCGGCGTGTTTGTCCTTGAGTCACGCCGGTTTACGAGCTCCAGACCCATAAAGCCCGCTGGTGTTCCCGCTCAGGGCGCAGCCACGTGACCCGCCAGTGTTTGTTGACATGGCAGCTTATTTCCCTGCGTAAGCACTCAGTGAAGGTTTGAGATAGCAGGATGTTTAGCGTCGGCATGCTTTGGTGTTAGTCTGATTTATGGGGATTACTGTGAATTCCCGTCGGCTGCTTATCTCTCCGCAGTACAAGGAAGTAACATAATATTTCCATTCTCTGTGTACTCATTATTCCTTGTGGCGTCATTTACCACTGGAGCTTTTCTTCAGTGTATTTTCTGGTCCGTCCCTCCCTCAGGCCGTCTGCGGACAAGTCAAGGCTTGTTGTGAGGTTAAAGTGTTACTGGATGTTGGTGAATTTTCTTCATAGCTCAGCCCTGTGGACTCATTCTCAGGAGGTCAGTGGGACGTTTAGCATTTACATAAACAAGCCGAGACTGTAAGTGTGTGATTCCACACCTGTGGTCACCCGACTTCCTCGTTCTGTGGCCACTGACCGAGACTGCTTGGACTGTCGCTCTGACCAGTCAGGTAGCAGCAAAACAACAGGTAATGAGACAACGTGAGCAGGAGAAGCTCAGAGACAAGCTGAGCTCTTCCCTCCAGAGAGATAATTAGGCCACTTGCTGGCATCATCAGCGTGACATCTAAAGGCTAAATGCGTCCCCCACCAGTGTGGCTAGAAACAGAGGCAGGCACAACAACAGGAACGCTCTACAAGGGGACTTTGTTGTGGATGGCCGACGGGCCACGCTCTCAGACGTTCTGTTCTCCCTCCAGCTTCTGAGAATCACACAAAGTGGTGATTCTCTTGTGGAACAAGTAATCTCATTGAGACTAGAGTGAAAATGAATCAATGAGCAGAAGGCAAGGGTCGCTACTGTGACTGTGAAGGTGGTTCTTTGTGTCCAGAATGTGTTTTTTAGGCTAAAAGAAGATGTGTTGAAGGTGTTTAAATGAAGGTGTTTGTGTGTTTATTCAGGCCGACGGAGAGGGAGCGCACAGAGAGGCTGATCAAGATGCGCCTCAGAGAGATCATGATGCAGAAAGACCTGGAGAACGTCACCTGCAAGGAGGTGAGCAACCGCCACTCATTCTGTCGGGGTTTTGCGGATGCAGATTTTCACTCTTCTTCATACACAAACTACAAAGTGAAGTTTTCCCCATCCTGAAGTTGTAACCACCACATGAACCAGGAAGTCACGGACAGACTTAGTGCTTGTCTGAACTGTGCTCGTCCTTTCCCAGATCCGAACGGAGCTGGAGATGCAGATGGTGTGTAACCTGAGGGAGTTTAAAGAGTTCATAGACAACGAGATGATTGTCATCCTGGGCCAGATGGACAGCCCCACGGAAATCTTTGAACATGTCTACCTGGTAAGAACCCGTCCTCTCTGAACCACAGAGTTCAGTTACGGCGTAGTCGTCATTTGTCAGAATATTCCTCCTCATCATTTATGCCGTAGCTTATATGTTTTGGCTCGTTTGTAGTCTTTTTGTATGGAAATGACTGGATGTGTGCCATCTGCAGGGCTCTGAGTGGAACGCCTCCAACCTGGAGGAGCTGCAGAACAGTGGGTAAGAGATGAGTCCCTCCGTTACTCTGAAGTTAATTAATGAACGCTGCCAACCATTCTGACTCAAAGTGATGTGTCTCAGTTTTAATAAATGGAGAGATCACACTTTGTGTATAAACAATACTTTCTCATTGAAGTTAATTAAAATGAGGGCTTCAATTATCTTCATGACTTCTGGGATGAGAACACGAGGTCCACTGAGCAGCTTTTTGGAGTGCTGGTTTTAAACATCAGCTTCTGAATTCATTTATTTAATCACAGTTAAAATACACGTTTTACTCTCTGAACCCTGAAACCTTCTGAGGCTGTGCTATTTAAAAACAGTTACACCCTTCATCGTAGCAAGAGGCTGCAGTCATTGGTGTCCGATGGGCCTTAGCCAATCATGTGTGACTTTCTGTGTTGTCTGGAAAGTCTGAATATTAATTCATAAAATAAAAATGAATATTTGTTGCTTGCATTGAACTCCGGCGACCCTCCTCTTCCTGTCTACTCTGTAGAGTGCGCTACATCCTGAATGTGACCAGGGAGATAGACAACTTCTTCCCAGGGATGTTTGAATACCACAACATCAGAGTGTACGACGAGGAGGCCACCAATCTGCTGGAGTACTGGAACGAGACCTACAAGTTCATCACCAAAGCCAAGTAGGTTTTTGCACCAACACACCAGAAGCTGTCCTTATGTCTCAGGTTGGTTCTTTATGACAACAACGCCTCTCTGCTGTGTGTCCTTAGGAAAGCTGGTGCCAAGTGTCTGGTCCACTGTAAGATGGGCGTGAGCCGCTCTGCCTCCACGGTGATCGCCTACGCCATGAAGGAGTACGGCTGGGACCTGGACACTGCCTTCGACTATGTGAAAGAGAGACGGACCGTCACCAAACCAAACCCCTCCTTCATGAAACAGCTGGAGGAGTATCAGGGAATTCTGCTGGCAAGGTGTGTAGACAAGCTTCTGTCCCGTCTGGACTGTCCTTCGAAAGTGTTTTGGAGCTAACTCTCTGATGGTTCTTGTCTTCCACAGCAAACAGAGGCATAATAAGCTGTGGCGCTCCCACTCTGACAGCGACCTGTCAGAGCGGCCGGAGCTGCTGTGTAAACCGTCGTCTCACTCGTTGGGCCGCTCCGACTCCCACAACAACAACACCTCCTCCCCCTCCTTACACCACTTCCTGGGCGTGGCAGTACTGCAGGCGCTGGGTGCTGGACCTGAGGACTCTGCCAGATCCACCGGCACACACACCTCTGACTGTGACGCCCTGTCCAACGGAGTGTCACCGTCGGCGGTTCAGGAGGTCCGGTTCCCCCTCCCCAGACCCCGGGCGGCCACCGTCATCCCAGAGGAAAGGCTGGACAGTTCAGCGAGTGTTGCTGTCACAGTGCCTGTGGCACTGCCACACCCCCCACCGTCACTCCACATCCTACCGCCCACCCCGGAGCTCCAGCGCGCTCACCGAGGCTCACATTCATCTGCTCCAGCAGCCAGATGCAAACGAGTGCAGCTGTCCCTCAGTTTACCTGAGAGAAGCAGCTCAGAAGAAACCTCTCCTCTCACTCTGGGATCCAGCGACTCAGACATGATGAACCAGTCGTTATCAGATTCACCAGCTGACAAGCCCGACCCCCCGCCCCTGGTCCTGCCCCTGGTTCCCAGCGACCACAACAACAACCCCAGTGAGCTACACACTGGCAGTGCCTTCGACAGCCGCGGCGAGGCCGACGGCTGGTCCAACCACAGCACCGACAGCATCGACTTCTTCAGCGCCAGGGAAAAGTTTCTGGGCCTGGCCCAAGACGGCCGCACTCGAACGCTTTCGGAGCAACGGACTCCTGCATCGACGGACGGAGAGACGGAGGCCAATGATGACGAGGAGGAGCAGGGACATGGGCCGAGTCAGGTAGAGACCCACTCAGCTGCCTCAGCTTGTCTTTAGATCATAGCTCAGCTCCATAACTTCAGGCAGTCAAACGGTTTTTCTTTGTTGATTAATTAGCCATTTACTTCAATAACTAAAACATTCATTAATTAGTTTACAAAAAAGTCACCAAATCTTTTGATTTGAAAGAGAAGCAGCAGATTCTTCCAGAAAAGCTGCCCTCTGCATGACTACGATGCCCTTAGGGACACTTAACAGACCACCAGAACAGGCACCAGTCAACAGAACCAGGATGGAGCTGAAGCTGTAATCTAACTTCACTGTTTGTCTACAAGAACAGCAGCTTAGTGACTGGATGAGTCGATACACCTGCATCAAACACAGTGACACCTGCTGGAAGACGAGAGAGTAGTCCTCATTCTCTGTCCAGTGGGATAATGTGTAGTTATAAACGTTATCAATCTGTCTATATTAAAAGTCTCAAACACCAGCAGTGAAGTAATTCATCTGTACCTGTAACACAGGGACTGCTTCACCAGACCGTGACTAATAAATGTGTTTCTCTTTGTCCCTCAGCCGTCTCCGCCGTCTGAAGCCAGCCCCGACCGAACCCACCATGCTAACCATGACAACGGAGTATCGGTCCGCCATATTGTCACTGAGATCGAAGCCATCTGCCACCCCGCCTCCTCTCTGTCCACTCCATCCTCCTCCTCCTCGCTCCCTCCGTCCTCTCTCAGCCGACTGGAACATCCGGAGGAGGCAGAGTCTTGTGAAGCCACTCACGCCTCTGTAACTCCACCTTCGCAGCCTTCGTCTCCCTCCATGCTGCCCTGCGACTGGCCGGCCGGCTCCGTGCGGCGGGCCACCGAGCAGCTGGAGCAGAAGCTGAAGCAGGAGCTGGAACTGGCAGCATCTCAGCGATCTCCGCTGCATTCCCCCAGCAGCGAGCAAGCTCCTGTCAGGCTGCCTCTGGGCTCCCCGACCGCTGAACTTCCTCCCCTTCACTCCCCTCAACACTCCTCAGAACAAAGAATCACTCAGGGAGAGAACATGGCTGTTCCCACTAAACCCAAAGACGGAGAGAAGCTCACAGGGTCACACTCAGAGCTGCAAAGACTCGACAACCTCCCAGACCCTTCACGCTCCCCTCCCCCCAACATCAGCCAAGTCTCTGGTGCTATACCTGTCACTGTGCACACACCTGTAGATAGCCATATGGTGACGTCATCACTGGCCTCTGCTAGTCAGCTAGTAGAGCCATCCCCAGATACCTCAGCCCGGTCCCAAACACAGGGCCGGCTCCACAGCCAGAACCAGCAGCCCCAGGCCCGTTCCGACCCAGTGCTCCTCGATGGGGTGACCGTGCAGGAGTCGGACACAGATGAAGGCCAGCGCTCCGGGTCCCAGGGAGGACACTCGGGCTGCAGCCCCGGCTGTGACGCCCAGAGCAGGCTGGCCCGAGGCTGCCAGGAGCTGGAGCGGATTCAGCAGACGCTCAGAGAGCTGCAGGCTTTCCTCCACGAGGGCGTCGGCCTGGAGACGGCAGACAGACCAGGACAAGAACTGGGGCAGCCTCAGGGCCTGAGAGACGCTATGGACACAGAGCCAGGACATCTTAAAGGGGCCAGTTCTGAGCAGACCCCTGCGGGCCTGGAAGTAGGGCAGCGGCTCAGAGAGAGGCAGGAGGGGAGGAGCTGTGTGCAGCCGCCAGGGTGGCTCCGAGCCATGGAGCTGGAGGCTCGCATTCGCCAGGCAGGCCTCACCCCTCCCTCTCTCATGAAGAGGTCGGCCTCCCTGGCTAAACTGGACTGTCTGGAGCTGTCCGCCACTGACCTCAGCGACCTGGACCTGAGGCCGACCAGCAGGACCACGTCCTCGCGCTCCCAGGACTCCTCCCCCCCGGCCCAGTCCCACCCGGACGACACCTGGAAGAAGCAGAAAGTGCTGAGTCAGAACTGTTGTGTTGAAAAGACGTGTGATGACTCATCATCTCCTCCGTCCCTCAGCCCCTCCTTCTCCTCCTCCACCTCCCTTCATGGCTGCCCGAAGGAGGACGCGGGTGAGAGGGAGGAGCCAGACGGCAGCGTGGCGTCTTTGGCCCGACAGCCGGGGAGGGGACACTCGTCGAGACGCTCTCGGAAAGCTGAGAAAAAGCAGCGAGCCGTCACTGTGCTATACAATACCATGTAACCTCAGTGCAATGGACTGGAACGGACACGACTGGAGCTGTGCACGTGTGAGAGGCTGCATGATGTGTGTGAATGTGTAGCCGCGGGGAGACGTCCGTGTACGTGTAGTGTGTAAGACGTGAATGATGACCGTGTTGCATGTAAATCACTGGATGTGTTTGTCTCAACTGGAGTTCAGGTTTATCTGTACAGTGATGTTATATGAATGTCCAAACAGACTGAAGCGGTGCGTCTGCACTCCATATGACTGTGTCCCTGTGTTTTCAGTGTGACCCTCGCTGCCTGTTGCAGTTTGTGAAACTACAACCAGAGGGGCTTTTTCTCAAAACATGCACTTTACTGTTTCGGTTTTCTTTTGTTGATCTGTTTCTTACCCGGGGAGTATTCTTTTGCACTGTTCTCAGTAGACTTGTCTCTGTTTTTGTTTTCAAAGTGCACAGACATGTCTTTATTCAGATTTTTAATTAAACCAGGACAAAGCTGAAATGTTGTTGTATTTTTTATTAATTGCTTTAGCAGTAAATAAATATGGTGAGTTTGTTTTGACTGCAGTGACCGTTTTTTTCTGTTTGGTATGAGTGCTTCAGCTCACATGTTCCCACTGGAGGAGAAAAGATAAGCCAGAGAAGGATGTGCTGCCACCTGCTGGCCAAGCTGACCCACAGCTTGGAGCATGTGTGGAGGCAGCAGGAGGTGATGAAGGCAGGTGAAGCTGAAGGAGTTCTATTCCTGACAGTAAATATGTAGATTACAGCTGGTGTAATTAACAAACACGACCTTCTGTGGTGAAATTGTGCCACTTTTAGATGGTGAACATCAAAAACTGACACCTAATAGTTGATAGAAACCCACTGATGAGCCACAATATTAAACCTGATGTAGTCTAGATCCACCTGGTGCTGCCAGACCTGCTGTGACTGGTGAGGAAAAGACTGTTGGAGGTGTTCAGAGGCTTGATGTCCATGGATCTGGCTTGTTATGGTGCATCCATAGATCAGGGGTGTCAAACTGATTTTAGCTCAGGGGCCACATCCGACCTAATTAGAT